AAAAACTGGAACATTGAGATAAAAAGTGCCGACGCAGAGTGAGCGATCTGATTCTTTAACTATAAACTGTGTCATAGGGTTCAAAATGGCCGCGCCACATAATTTGATTACTATACGAGGCAAGAGAGAGGTCCGACACGCCCAACATAGGGCGCGGCCATTTTGAACCCTGTGAAACAGTTTACAGCAAAAGAATCAGATCGCTCACTCTGCGTCGGCACTTTGGATCTCAATGTTTCAGTTTATACACTGTGCAACTCGGATAATACAATATATGACAACCGCCTATAATAAAACAGCGGTCTTCTGCGTATCCTGAATTTGTACCCCTGGAGTAGATGTTATTTTGGAACTTTCAACTGGTTCGAGTGAGCTAACTGATTCTTTAGCAATAAACTGTGACTTCAAAAATAATATTCACTGACACTGACAGCAGCAAGCAAAATATCAGGTGCGTTTTAATCATCCGATTCTGCTTCCGGAATTGTCGGTTTAGTCGTTTTAACCTGTCAGATTAAAACAAGAAAACCGACAATTCCGAAGCAGAAGCGATGATTAAAACGCACCTATTAAAAATATTGCGCCAAGATGTAGGCAACACGTAATAAGGGTTCAAAATGGCGGAGTTTTCTATCTCCTTTTAAAAGGCACTCAGAAAGCTGCGCAGTGCGACCATTCTCCGTATTGTAAAAGAAAATTAAAGTATGTGGGCCGCGCCCTATGTTGAGCGTATCGGACCTCTCTCTTGCCCCGTATAGTAATAAAAGTATGTGATCTAGACACTGTGTTGTTTATTCAAAATGTAGCTATATAGGACAGGGATTCTTATGTGCGAACTACGTGTTAGGTAGAGAGAGACATTACATAATAATTGCAGTCTGTCGAACAAAGATAGGCATCTCAACACGTGCCGTATTGAAAGATAAGAATCCCTCTGCAGGTCACATTTTTTACATCTCGATTTGAAATGAGATGTTGTAGTGGGGATTGTCAAACTTGTCATTTATTTTTTGTTGGATTCGTTCCATGTCAAGTTTAATGGACCTTTCCCATTATTCGACAATTTCGTAATTCTCATGCGCGAAAAAAGAGCGGGACATTTGAATCTAGTAATTTTCAATACACTTTTTGCTACCTCTCTCTTATCCTCGACTGTTAGGTTGGCTACGACGATTACCCCATTATAGGTCTTTTCCTTTGCATCGAAAGTGTAGCACTGAGCTACACCAGTTCTGAAAATATCGTTCCATTTATACAAATTGTATGGATGGAACAATATTTTTGGAGGGAGTCACCGCTCTTTTCTCCACTCAACTTTTTTGTAGTATAAAATTTAATTACAAATGAAACGCCACTCGAATGCAACTTTCATTTGGAAACGTTTTTGTTTCTTAGTATTTGTTTGTAAAAAGTTTAGTTTGGACGATACAGCCATTTGAAATGACAACTTAAAAATATTCAATGGAAATACTACGTATGAAAAATATCAAAATCAAGTTTATTTTTAAATTACAAATGTCATCAAAATAAAAAAAATTAATTTAACAGGTGTTAAAAATTATATTCTCCTCCTGTATACACTTACTACATAGTTTTAACAATGAAAATCGAATTTTGATATTTTTGCATACGTATAATTTACAATGAATATTTTTAAGATGAAGGAACCCACAGTAGAAGAGAAAATAGAAATTATTTCAAATATAAATAATAATAATAAAAGCCCCGGATCAAACAAAATTACCGCAGAGAACCTAAAATATGGAGGAATAATAACAGAAATAATAAAACTAATCAAAGAAATATGGAAAGCGGAAGAAATGCCTCTAAATTGGAGGAAAGCAGTACTACTGCCAATATATAAGAAAGTGGACCCAGTAGACTGTAGAAACTATCGAGGTATAGCTTTGCTGGACGTTACATATAAGGTACTAGCCACGTTAATAAAAAGAAGAATAGAAGTAGAAGGAGAAAAAATTATCAGAGAATACCAATGCGGCTTTAGAAAAGGCAGGTCAACGACTGACCAAATCTTTATTTTAAAACAGATACGTACTCACATGTTGCTACGAATACCAAATACCGACCCATGTTATGTTTGTTGATTTTAAAAGCGCATGATAGGTACAGTAAATCGATGAAAATTGGTAAATGCTTTGAAAGAACTAAAAATACCTCTTAAATTTGTAAAACTGACGAACATGACCCTGTAAAATACTACGTGTGCAATAAGAATAGGAGGTGAGGAAACCGAAAAATTTGAAGTCCAAAACGGCCTTAGGCAGGGAGACCCATTATCCACCCTTCTTTTTAACTTAACTCTTGAAATAGTCTCCAGAAACAGTGGAATAAACAGATATGGAACCCTGATCAACAGATCCCGAGCATTAGCATACGCAGATGATGTTGTACTGTTAGCGAGAAGCCAAAAAGAACTTAAAAATATAACAGAACAGTTATTAGACGCGGCAGGAACAATGGGGCTAAGAATAAATGAAAAGAAGAGTCAGTACATGCAACTCAAAAACAAACATTCAAGAAAAAATCCTGGAAAGCTAGAATTACAAACTAAAACCATAGGAAAAATAACAATAGACGAAACAGACCGTTAGATGTACCTCGGTGTTCTCATTACAAATAGATGCGAAGAACAATCTGAAATAGATCTCCGTCTAGCAAAGAGTAATAGATGCGCATGAGCTATACATAATTTACTAAAATCTAAAGAATTGTCATGGGAAATAAAGAAATGTATGTACAAAACAATAATCAGGGGCCCTATTCTCGAATGTCTATTAAAAATGTCGCATTAGTCATAATGTCTACTGCTAATGTCTATTAAAATGTCGATCGACTGACACTATCCGTATTCTCAAAGACAAATAGAGATTTTAAAATCGGTGACATATTTGGCGAATGATAACATCTGACAACATTGGATAGAAATATACAATGCGAGTATATTACAGTAGACAATTACTTACTGGGCCCCGCTTCAGCCTCTTTTTCGACCTTTGGCCTTATAGTAAATGAGGTGAACGCATAGCTCATCCTCATTGATTTGGCCTTTAGGGTTCCCATGTCTTCGTCTCCGATGCCGAAGAAGAAAAGATGGCCCTTATGGTCTTTTTTGATTTCATGGTGGAAGGTGCACCATTTCGCCACATGCAAGTTTGGGTTTTGCCCTTCAACTCGCCTAAGCGCAACCTCTTTTTCGTCAAAGTCAGCTTGAGCTTCCCCTAGGATCCAGAGAGAGGCTTTGGTGAGCTTGAGGAGCTCGTCCATCCTTACAACTGCGAGTGTTGCTCCTTCCCATGTTTTTAAGGTTAGTACCTTGGTTTTTAGTCATTCCAACGTCAGGTCATCGTTGCAGGTTACTCTGATAATTTCACCAGAGTGCGATCAAGACCTGAATGTGGGTGTCTTGGTTTTGCTGCAGGAGGCGGACAAGATTGTTTTGTCCAGCTCTCTCATCAGTGTCTTTTTGACAAGGATTTCTCTTTCGGTAGTTATCTTACCGTAAGGGTTATCCATGTCTATTATAGCTACTTTCAGGTGGCACTTAGCTGCATTCTTGTAGCTTAACCCAGACAGAACTTTGTGGTCCTGTCTGGGTTTTTCACCTTCCAGGGCGTTACCTCTTTTCTTGTCCCTAGTTGCGTCGTGTTCCAGCTTCTTGTGGAGGCTGAACTAGCGTCGTTGTCTAGGGACTTAATTAGGCCTCTTTTGTTTTGTTTGGAGTGAGGGGGTTTGCTGAGGGTGGCGTTTGCCGTAGTACTGCCTGCCTGCAGCTTATCCCTCTTTCTCCTGTTTGCTTTAGACTCAGAGATTATTTTGCCTCTCCGGGGCCTGTTAGTTGGAGGTGAACTACTGTGTCCATCCCCATTTTTTCCAAGGTTTATTTCGCATTTCTTATTTTCAAGGGTCCACAGACTGAGGTCCACTGACTTAGGCTCACTGAATTAGGTCTACTGATTGAGGCTTAGTGCCTGAACGAGGATCCAATGCCCGAACGAGCACCACTGTCCGAACGAGGGCCCACTGCTTGGAAGAGGGCCCACAGCTTGAACGAAGGCCTACCGGTCTTTTGCCGGTACACCGACGGCCCAATCCGATAATAAGGACTAATAATTGATAAATTAGGAGAAATTGTAAATAATCATTTCATTTATTTTCAAAAACAATTTGTACATTACTTATTTTCATTTCTCTTAACAATAAATATATATAAACTGTCACTGTCACGACACTCATAACATTATATTTAAAAAGGCATGCGACATTACAATGTCGACTGGTTGAATACCACTCGACTTTATGTCTAACAACAAATGTCGAATTCGCCATTCCAGAATACGTTTTTGCGTTCTTATTCGACATTTCATCAATGTCGCGTGTGACATTTAGAAATAGACATTCGAGAATAGGGCCCCAGACCTACAATACTATACGACAGTGAGACATGAACACTAAATAAGAAAGAACAGACCAAGATTGAAATATGGGAACGTAAGATACTAAGAAGAATATATGGGGGCAAAAAGACAGAAGATGGATGGGAAAGACGAACATACAAAGAAATCTACGAAATATTTAACGAACCCAACATTAAGAATTCAAGGACAGTAAAAAGAGTAGCTTGGACAACATCCGAAGAAAAAAAAGAGAGGAAGGCCTAGAAGGAAATGGAGAGAATCGATCATAGAAGATATTAAGGACAAAAAGATCATCAACTGGAAAGAAAGAGCCAAGAATAGGGACAAATGGAAGAAACTAACCAGGCCATAGACCTAAACGGTCTGTTTAGAGCCTCTTTCACTTAGGATAATATTTCTTTACTATAAAATACCCATTCAAAAATATTCAAATTGTTGTACTTGAAAAGTATTGTTATTAAGAGTACACCATTTTAGGTCGGGTCTTTAACAATTAATAACCTATAATTTTTTTCAGTTCGATTTTATACGGCTGTTTTGAATTTAAAAATAAGTAATTGCTTTTCTCACTTCATGATTAGATTTTTTATTAAAAAAAAAAAATAATTGTAATTGTTATGGTTTAATTTTTGTTGTATTAACATTTTTTTGTAATTCGAATACCAACACATCTTTAGCTCTAAGTATTTTTGCTTGTAAATATAAGGAACCACTTTGTGTAAGACTATTGCTTTTATACAAATGTTTAAAATTTTTATAAATTTGTTCGGGACACATTTCGCTAACGTTCAGTATTAGCTTAGCCTCGTTAAGAGACATATCCGGTGTTGGGTCGTTTTTTTCGAAATTTCGACTGTATCTAATTCTCGCCACTTCTTGGCTTGTTTGTATTTCTTGTACTAAACTCTTTATAACAGATTTCAAGACGACTTTCGTACCATGGTAAATGATCTTAGCTATGTATTTTACCATTATTATAATTTTGAAGCACCATTTTCGTAACTAGTTGAAATTTAGAGATCATTTTTCATTAAAAACTGTTAATGTCAAAATAACAGACACGTCAAATTTTTATCGAGATCACGACCCAAAGCGCTCGGAGCACATACTTTGATTTTATTTTACTATGGTCGCACTGCACAGCTTTCTGAGTGCCTTTTAAAAGGAGATAGAAAACTCCGCCATTTTGATCCCTTATTACGTGTTGCCTACATCTTGGCGCAATATTTTTAATAGGTGCGTTTTAATCATCCGCTTCTGCTTCGGAATTGTCGGTTTTCTTGTTTTAATCTGACAGGTTAAAACGACTAAACCGACAATTCCGGAAGCAGAAGCAGACGATTAAAACGCACCTGATATTTTGATTGCTGCTGTCAGTGCTGCTGATATTATTTTTGGAGTCACAGTATATTGCTAAAGAATCAGTTAGCTCACTCGGACCAGTTGAAAGTTCCAAAATAACATCCACTCCAGGGATACAAATTCAGGATACGCCGAAGACTGCTGTTTTATTATAGGCGGTTGTCATATATTGTATTATCCGAGTTGCGCAGTGTATAAACTGGAACATTGAGATCAAAAGTGCCAACGCAGAGTGAGCGATCTGATTCTTTAGGTATAAACTGTGGCATAGGAATCAAAATGGCCGCGCCCTATGTTGTGCGTGTCGGACCTCTCTCTTGCATCGTATAGTAATCAAAGTATGTGTCTTATTCTTATATTCGAAGTTCGTAATCATTTGGACATTTGTCTGTCAAAAGTTTGTCATAATATTGGCAACTGCTTTAAACTCAAGACCACTTTTTTAATAATTGATAACTTAAAAATAAGTGAATCCAAAATTAAGTTGTTAAAATCTGTACTTACCAGGTACACATGGATGTTCTTTGAGGAAATCGCTTCTAAGATTTCTTAAACTTTTCACCTTTTCAATTTCCTCAGGCGCTTCTATGGACGAGAAAACCGACGCCCCCAAAATAAGAAAGAGGAAGTATCCACTGAAGAAAATGGTAAAACGTAAAAGTCCACGACTGGTAAGGGTCATTTTTTCTGTAACAAAAGAGTAACGCAATAATGAATTTTGTTTAACTAAATAAATAAACATTAGTGCCCGATAACTATGAAGACTAGAGATAAGGAGGCGAATCGGCATGCTCAAAATACGGTCCCAAAAATCACACGTCAATTGAGCTTTCATAATTAACCGCATGGGCGCTGGTACTGTTTACATAGTTCAAAATACATGGCTTTTTATGGGAATTATACCTAATTTTGTCAAAATAATAAAAATAAACTTGTTTATAGCTAAATAAAGCACAGTTGTATTTTTTTGTAAATAAGTCTTACATATTTTAATTGATACGTTATTTACTATTTATTCCTATTTAAGTTAAATGCAAATTATTGATGATAAGTATTGAAATTTGATGGGTAGGGCTAATTATTTTTTAATTAAAGCTAAATAGGGCTGAGGGCATACTAAGACACGGTTTAAATGAAAAAATTTAGTTAAGGATTTTAAAAAATTTTATGAAAATAATAAAAAACAAATTGTTTATTGCTAACTAAACCACAGAAAATACTGTTGATTTTAATTATTGTAAATAAGTCTTTGTTTTAATTGCTAACTAAAGTACAGAAAATACTGTTGGTATTGATTATAAATGAGTTTTTATGTTAAACATTATTTACTATTCATTATTAGGATCCTATAACAAATATGTGCAATGACTAAATTAAAGTTCAATAAAGAAAAATAACAGTAGTAACTCTTCATCTAACATTAAAAAACATAAAAAAAGCAAATTTTCTTTTCTAGTAAGTTAAATTTAATGTGTAATTATTGTTGTTTGCAAGTCAGAATTTATGACTTTATTATTTTTTATTATAGAATTTTGTAATTAAATAAACTACACTTCGTAAGATACGGGTTGTAACTATTTTACAATAAATATATATTATTTAGAAATAAATACATTATTTTAGTTACACTAGGAGCTTTAAAAAGACTTAGATTTTTATCTCCTTGGGATTTCCTTAATTTTATATCGGATTTATATCCCGTTTTGCAACCCGGAACGAAGCAAATCCTGCTTTGTCGTTTTTGTTACTCATTGTTACTTGTAGTCAGGTTCTTTATTTCAGCTTATTTTTATTATTTTTACTAAATTTTACAAAAATCACTTTAATTCCCATTGACTTGCATAGAAAATAGACGTAGTTATTTTTCCACCCGCCAACTACAGTAGATTTTTGGAACTCCATTAAAATAGGGATGGAAATTTGAAATTTGACCAAGGCCGATTCGCCTCCTTATCTCTAGTCTTCATACCGATAACTAAGTATAAAGTTAAATAACTATTTTTTTTTTACAGAACGTCATTTTGGCATAAATAATAAAGTTTATTATTCTATTCGTGCAGATGCCCTTAAAAATAAAGTTTTTAGTTTTTCATAGATCATCAAATCCTGACCAATTGTATATGGGGCTACTCCTGAGCTTTCCCCATTCTAACAAAAAAAGAATTATAGAAATGGGACAACGTGGTAAAGAATGATCGGTGAAAATACATAAAAAAATGAAGAGTTTGTTGATTTTCACAGGGACCCCACTATTAAATCTTTATCAAATTTATATGGGACTACCCCTGAGGTACCCCCTTTCTAACAAAAAAAGAATCACTGAAATCGGACACCGTGTTAAAGAATTATCGCTGAACATACATAAAAAAATATCGCGACGAATTGATAACCTCCTCCTTTTTTGAAGTCTGTTAAAAATCAATTCAGAAATACATACACACACAGAACTGAAAGCGCTTTGTCATCGAGCCAGAGCATTTGAGTCGAATCCGCTATTATTCTTATATTCGAAGTTCGTAATCATTTGGACATTTGTCTGTCAAAAGTTTGTCATAATATTGGCAACTGCTTTAAACTCAAGACCACTTTTTTAATAATTGATAACTTAAAAATAAGTGAATCCAAAATTAAGTTGTTAAAATATGTACTTACCAAGTACACATGGATGTTCTTTGAGGAAATCGCTTCTAAGATTTCTTAAACTTTTCACCTTTTCAATTTCCCAAATGAGGAACACCTCTGGCAACGTATTCAAGATGCAATAAACAATCTTAGAGGTGATGAAAAAGTTATGGAAAGGATACATTTTAATTTTCTTCGACGTATAAATCTTTGTATGCGTGAAAATGGAGAACATTTTGAACAATTTTTGTAAAATCTCTATTTTGATTATGTTGTAAATAAATATTTTTGTGAAACCTATACACTCTAAATTATTAAAACAGAAATTTAGCGAAAACCATGAGAGTAATCGAGTCTTATCAAGAGTACCTTTTTTAAAGTAAATGAGTTGCGCAATCTAAATTTCATACTCAAACTCCTTTTCTTCCATTAGCGTAGAATTTTTAAAGGTGCAATTATTTAAAAAATCAAGTTCTACGCTTATGTATTATTATCGGAAAAAATTTTAATACCATTTTTTTTGCCACATAAAACTCTACCAATATACCAAATTTCAGCAAAATCGCATATTCCGTTTTAAATTTATATGGGAAAAACCATTTAAAAATTGTAACTTCAAGGCCCTCTGGAGCCCAAACGAAGCAACTTTGTACTGAGGTAATTTTACTTAAATCGACTTATTTTGGTCTAAGGAATATGTGGTATGTTTTTGTAAAGACCTTTTACAGACACCCTGTATAGGCTGATGTTAAATAAATTATTTAAAAACAACCCAGGCAGCACACATTAGTATAACTAACGTATTTTATACGTAATACTCGTTTAAATTTGGTATTGGTTGATTCCGTATACGTTTACAGTTTACGATTATTATACATGCCGTATTTTAAAATACATATTATACGTTTTTTGTATACATCCTATGGTATATAATTGTAAATTTTTCTACGTTTAAATATAGTTAAAATATACGACTATTTTTAGTTTGCGATGAACTATTTATATACAGTGGGCCTAAATATACGTTTAGGTTTATTTAAATTAAATTCGTATAAATTTACATAATATTACAATATGTGTTCTTCGTTTATAACTCCCGTTTAAATTTCGTCTTGGTTGATTTTTTAAACGTTTACCATCTAACATTTTTATACTTAACGTTTTTTAACAGATAAATTAAACGCTTTTGTTTGTGGATACTAATTAATATACCTATATTATTCTACGTTTAAATATAAGTCACCTTAAACGCATATTACTAGTTTACGATGAACTAGTAGACAGAAGTAAATAATATGTATATATTTAGGTTTATTTAAATTAAAAGCTTATAGATATATTTATTTACATTACACCATATTTTTTTAATTATATTACCTGTAATATTTATAACAAATTCCCATTGTACCGATTTCAAACACCCGAACATTTAAATAACCCGCCAATAACCATGGTGGGGTGGACTAGTCCATGTCGTTTCAGTGAGTGAGATTCGGGGGGTGCTTTACGCTAAGTCGGGCTGGTCCAAAGTGCGCGTAGTGCAGAGAATTGAGAGGGGAGTAAGGTATCGGCAGACGATCGGGAATCAGCTGACTGATGGTGGCTGGTGGCTGTGAAGCGCTCGCTATCAATCAGACAATTCACGCTATTATAAGTTATATTTTTGTTAACTAGTTGCTAACCACGATAATTGTTTTTTATGTAATAAAAAGTTATTGTAAAATTGTTGGTGTTGTTGTTGTGCCCAGTTGCATTGCATGTTGCTTTGGCGTCCTGGCTTTTATGATATTGGTTAAAAGCATAGGTAAGTTTCTATTAATGTTTTAATTTAGCTACTCGTTTAATAATTGTTGCATTTTACAACAACTACTGTTTTATTACAGTGTGTAAAATGCTTATAGAAACTCCAAAACTTAACCTTACTTTTGTTTCTCTTATTTTTATACGTATTTCTATACGTATTTTTTAGGCTACCTAGTTATTCCAAGCATACTTATTTTCCTTTTTTTTTTGGTCAGTTGTTTTTTATTTAATAAAATGTCTAACATAACCCTGTCTCGGCGTCATCTACTAAG